GGGAGGGAGGGAGGGAGGGAGGGAGAGAGAGAGGGAGAGAGAGAGAGGGAGAGAGATCACATTCGTGTAACTTTATTACAGCATAGTATTCTAATTGTCCTATTTTAGCATTATTGTTGCTCATTTCTTCCTATGCCTCATTTATAAGTTAACCTTCTCATAGGCACACATGTATAGGAAAAAACATGGCATACATGGGGTTCACTACCACCCAAGTTTTCAGGCTGCTGGTCTTGAAACAGATTCCTTGAGGGCAAGGGGGTCCTGCTGTGTGTCTGCTGGTCTCTGTCTACCTGACTGTTTTCCTTTGCTTCCTCACCAAGATGCGACTTTTCCTGATGGCCTCCGTGTTGCCTCCTTCACACTATGATGGGTGTTCAACAATGCTGCAGTCACTGTGGGTGTTCGATACCGTTGAGGAATTAGCCTCACACCGGCTTGCTAGCATGAGTGACTAGCCTTGCCTCATAACTCATATGTACATTAGCCATGTGTCCTGGCTTGCTCAGGCTCCAGTGTGTGCCTGTTGTCCTGATACACCTATGAAGATGTCTGCTTTTTCTAGAGACGTACTGGCTTGAAGTCACTTTGGGTTTGAGAGCCGCCGCTGTCTGTTTCCTGTCCATGTGCTGTATTATACCTCACCAGTTGGCAGTTTTGGGTGCCAGGCAGACTTGGAGCAGTGACTCTAGGAGTTGGGCCTAGTCCCTGAAGGGACAGCAACTATTTCTGAAAGGTGTCCAGGGTTCTAGGAAGGTAACTGAGAGGAGTCTGTTAATAGCAGTTTCTAGTCAGAGCAGAGGCTGCTGTACTCAAGCCAGCAGATGCTCCAGGTAGCCAACCAGCAGTCAGCTGGACCTCAGGCCCTGGTCTTGAGCTTAGGGTACAGCCTCTGGTCCCTGGTGGTGGGAGATGTGGGGGAAGGAACCAGGAACCCCTCAGGTTGGCAGATACTAGAGATGGTCCCCAAGCACTGGCCAGAAACTCCCAGGTTTGGCCAGTAGTGAGGATGGCTCGATTATGAGGCCCCCAAGGCTTTTGCTGGAGCCTGAAAAGTGCCCCTGGCCAGGTTTCATCCTCAGATTCAAGGTGAAGTTAGGCCTGCATCTGCTGAGGCTGCAGCTGTGTGGGAGGCAGAGGCTCAGTGCACCTGACACAAGGGAGTGAATGGATACCTCTAGATCCTCGGCCAGGGAGGAGCACTTCCATGACTCCACATTGGCACATCCTCATGCCACCTGCCACCTGCCATGGAAGACAGCCAGGAAAATAAGTACCACAGGCACAGATCATCTTGGTCCAGGTCTCTGCTGGTACTCGCTATTTCCTATAGAAGACCCAAGATTAGCCAACATCAGAGAAGTATTCGAGCCGACTGAGACGAAATCGAGACTTTGTGTCTTTAACCAGGAGCATCATAAGGGACCCGTTTCAGCATTCAGGAAAGCCCAGCCCCAGCAATGCTCCCCCTGCCTGGAACCCGGGGTACAAGGGCATCTCTGTTTGATACGTGACAGCCAGTGATTTCTGTCCCTGGCGAGCATCAGTGATTCTCCCTGCCCTGTGTTCTCAGGCTCTTCCTGGCCCCTTGGCCCCCAGGTGAACATGATGTCTTGAGAAACGTGGTGTCTTGAGAAACTGTTTTCAGAAACCCCTTCCTAACCTTTTTTACTCCAACTACAGGTAAATCAAAAACTGCAGAAGATGTCAGCATGCCAGCCCCACAGCGAGGAGTGAGAACCCCCGTGGACAGCACCGAGCTCAATGACCCCTGCCCTGAGGCCCGGGAGAAGTTGCAGGAGATGTGTCGCCACATGTGAGCGCCTCGGTGGTTGGGCAGGGGTAGAAGGTGTTCTCAGAAAGCCCCAGCCCAACCAGGAGTCCATGTGTAGGGAGACAGTCACAAATGCATATGAGCCGCCCTGCCAGGAGTGCAGGTTATCCAGTATTCCCCAGGACAGCCACAGGTACAGTGCTACACACACACACGCACACACACACACAAACTCTGTCTCTCTCTCTCTCTCTCTCGCTCTCTCTCTCTCTCTCTCCTGTTCTCCTGTCTTTCTCTACTCACTGCCCTCCCGATGACAACCTCACCATGACCATACAAGGAAGATGGGATTGATGCCCATTGGGCAGATGGAGAAACTGAGGCAGTCTAAGTGGGTGGGTAGCTGAAGAATGGCCTAAGCTTATGCAGCTTGTTGCCATGACCTCTTTCTCCCCACCTGGCAATGCTTTCTGTTTCCACAGCATGCTGCCTCACTAGGGATACCCCTTTGCATGATTCCTTACAGATTACATATAGCCTTTACACCCTGAGTGTTTATTTCTTAACATAATTTGCCAGATGTTCTTTTGCAAAAAACAAACAAACAAACAAATTAAAACCTCTCAAAACAAACACAGAAAAAATCCAACATGGGTGAGTAATGTATTGACGATTCTGTCTCACAAGATCTAACGAGCTATTCAACATTTCTTGGAGGGTCCTAGCCCATGGGCCATAAAGGATCCAAACACCTATCCATATCTCACATCTAAGTCATATGTGTCTCCTGGGGTCACTGGACCAGAGCATGGGTAGAGGGGAGCCACCCGATTTGCCTCCTCATTGTGACACTCTGGAAAGAAACTCTTCCTGTAACCTCAGGACTGGGGTGAACAAAGTCTTCAGTCCCCTAGCTTCACCGTCTGCACGCAATCCCACTCCGTAGGTCCTCAGACCCATGCTAAGGAGGCAGTCAGGCAAGGGTTGTTCTTAGAGGGGCACTGGGACCTTCCCAGTTCTTCCTCCAAATCATGCCTTTGAGGACGAGAGAGCCTGGGGTGGAGATGTGTACTTTTGGGACAGGGGAGGGGGACAGGGGTCTTGGGTGCTATAGAGAGCCTCCCTGGTGAGCGAGAGCCGAATGGTTAGAGGATATGTTGGTCTCCTTCCCTGCAGAGAAGCTGAGAGGGCCACGTGGAAGGGGAGGAATATCTCCTACCCCATGATCATGCGCAACTACAGGGCAAAGACATCCTCTCATCTAATGCCGGCCCTCAAAGGGGACTCCCACACCCTAAGTCCCCATCATCCTCAGACTCCCACTGCCACCCCTCACCAGCCTCCCGTCCACTATCTTCCTCTCCACCAGCATTCTCAAGAGTGGAAGGTGCCCAGGAAGGCCATCAAGTTGCATTACACCTTTTATGACGGCTCCTCCTTCGTTTAATATCCTTTCATCTGGTGCCTCGCTATCTCTCTGGCTGCTCAGCCCCAGAGAAGTCCAAGACCTGACAGCCTAAGGATTTACTTGGGCTTTTCAGTTGATCGGAGAAGCTTGGGGACTCAGGAGGGTCAGAGGAAGAAGTACTAAGTAGCCTCAAGTTTGGTTCAGTTCAGATCAACATGAACACACCAAACCCCAGCTACCTGTGAGAAGCCTGGCCACACAGGCTGGGAGTGCAGACTTAATCCTTGTCTTTGAGGACCTCCCAGGTAAAAAGAGGCTAAAGACAACACCATTCATCTTTAGTGGCAAGGATGGGGCTAGGAGGCCCTACACATGTGAGAATCTTTGTCCTCTGTTCCTGGCTCAATGACTGAGCCCTGTGGTCCTCGTGCACTTCACCCATCCACATCCTCAGAGTCTGAGCCCTTATCCCAGATGCTCCATCCATGTACCCCAATTTTTCTGCAGCTGACATCTGCCTGAGTTGAGTTTGGTGGGAGCTCGGTCCCAGTCGTGGGGTGTGGGTGCTGCAGAAGGAGACACATTTTCTCTTTGAGAATCTGATGAAAGGTATTTCTCTTCCTAGAAATATGTACTTATATACACACGCATGTAAGGTATTAGTTGTGATTGCAGGGGGTTTGCAGACCTTCAAAGCCTGTCTATGGATCTGGGTTTTAGACCTCAAGATTTAGGAAAGCTATGTCTTGAAAAGAGATCTCTTTGGAGGGTGAAACCTGAGGCTGTGCACACCTTAGAGAGTTGAGCCAGCTGACTTTCTTCATTGACAGATGTTCATCAAGTATCTGTTATGTGCATTGGAATCACTGGATGACGTGAATGGGTCATTCATACCCTGGAGGGAGCAGCTCTGGTTGGGTTACTTTCCTCTAGGATGAGGAAAAGGAGCCTGAATATGAGTGATGAGGGCCAAGGAGAGGGCTCCCTGTGGAGAACATCTGGGTGGGATGTTGCCCTGGTCCCAGTGTTCCCTTCGGGGTCCGGTTACCCAATCCCCAGCATGTTCTAGAACTGGATCAGACCCCAGATGCCCAATTAATTTGGCAGCAAAACACTTCTTCCAGGTCACACAGTCTGAGTTGAGCAAAAAGTCAAGGACGGGAGACCCAAAATCATTTATTTCTGTCCCTTCATTGTTGAAACGGGAAAACTGAGACCCAAAGGGGGTGGCATGACCTACTCAGTGTCATGAAAGGAATTTTGTGACCCAACTAATGTTGTGGCCTGGGCTCAGGGCTTCCTTGCTTCAATTTAGGATCCTCTGTCAGGTACCATTTGTATGCCTTTAAGGATTGTTTCCTCCAGCAGAGAGCAGGGTAGGGAGTGATGGAGAGTACATTGAATAATACAATGGGATTTCCTGCTTTGGAGGAGAGGATGGATCTCTGAGCTGTCTTGACTACTTCTATAGAGGCCGCGCCGTCCAACCAGGCTTGCCCGGCAATGGCCGCCTCGCTTTGTTCAACCTCTTTTGACTGAACCGGGAATTCAGAATTTAAGTACCCTGTCGAAGAAGTCTCATGGTTTCTCAAACCGTAAATGAATCCATTCCTCACGCTCCACTCGGCCCTGCCTCCAGTGTCTTCTCTGATGCTGAGTGCAGCGGACTCCTCTGAGAGCAGCCGCCGCTTGTGGTGGGCTGTGCCCTCCTTCTTTCCTGACTCTTCACTGCGTTGATGGGATTGTCTCCCCAAGTTCCTCATGAAGCTGTGTCTGTGAATTAGATTTCTATCAGGGGGACCAGAGAGGAAGGTGGGTTAGTGTATGATAAGGGTATGGGCCCGCAGCTTGCTGAAATCTTTGTTCTCTCATCTGTCCCAGAATTCTGAGGCCCCTGGGTGAGGACTATTCCCAACCTTCAGTCCATTACTACTGGCAGGCTTGACTCATGCAGCCATGGGCCGTAAATGACCCAAACACCTATCCACATCTCATATCCAAGTCATATGTGTCTCCTGGGGTCACTGGGTCAGAGCATGGGTAGAGGGGAGCCACCCGATTTGCCTCCTCACTGTGACACTCTGGAAAGAAACTCTCTTCCTGTAACCTCAGGACTGGGGAGAGCAAAGTCTTCAGACCCCTGGGCTTCACCTTCTGCGCTCAAGTTCCTCATGAGATGTGACAGTGGTCACATCTAGGCGATTAATACATTTTCTCTCTGGGAGTCACAGAGACCAGGACTTTAGGCTTATTCTTTTTGGTGACCCTGTGCGAGTCACTTGATCTCTGTACCTCACGTTCCCTGATTATAAGATAAGGAAATTGGACCCAGTGATCTTAAAGGAGAAATTGTATTCGTGTTACTGTGGTCAAATGGCCAAAACACACGTGCAGCTATCTGATCCCTCTTGAGTACAGAGGATGTTTGGAAACCACGTCCCTTGCCTCATGGCTTCCATGAACATTGGGCTCAGCAGTTCATTCTATTTTCATTAGTGATTGCTGGGAAAAGCTCTCAGGTGAATAAGACATGTCTGCCTGGGAATATCAAAAAGCTCTAAGTCATAATTGGTTTGCATTTGTCGGCTCCAGATCCCAGAGCCATCTCAGTGTTCATTTCATTCATTCATTCTAGTGGGTGTGAGTGGGATCTCATTGTGGTTTTGACATATTTAATGACAAATGATATGGAGCATCTTTTCATGTTTTTTGTTTTGTTTTGTTTTTGCTATATCTTTTGGAGAAATATGTATTCAAGTCCTTTGAGTTTTTTGTCTTTTTAAAAATTGATTTGTGGCCGGGCTCGGTGGCTCAGCCTGTAATCCCGCACCTTTGGGAGGCTGAGGTGGGTGAATTGCCTGAGCCCGTGGGTTCGAGACCCGCCTGGGCAGCGAGACCTCATCTCTACAATAAATAAATTTAAAAAAAAATCAGCCGGGCATGGTGGCGCATGCCTGTAATTAATTCCGGCTACTTGGAAGGCTGAGGCGGAAGGATCACCGGAGCCCAGCAGGCCGAGGTTGCGGTGGCCGGGAGTGGCCACTGCACTCCAGTCTGGGCGACAGAGTGAGACTCCAACTCAAAAAAAAAAAAAATTGATTTGTGGCTGGGCACAATGGCTCATGCCTGTAATCCCAGCACTTTGGGAGGCCAAAGTGAGAGGATTGCCTGAGGCCGGGAGTTCAAGACCAACCTCGGCAACATGGTGAGACCTCAACTTCACAATAAATAAAAAAATTAGCTGGGTGTGGTGGCACTCACCTGTAGTCCCAGCTACCTGGGAGGCTGAGGTGGAAGGATCACCTAAACCTGGCAGGTCGAGGCGGCAGTAGCCATGATCATGCCACTGCACTCCAGCAGTGAGACTCAAACTCAAAAAAAAAAAGTGATTTGTAAATATTCTTTATATATTATAGGTAGATACTAGATACTGATCCTTATAACATGATTTGTATATATTTTTCCCATGTTGTGAGATGTATTTTCATTCTTTTGTTAGCATCCATTGCAATGTTTTTAATTTTGATGAAGTTCAGTTTTTTCCATCTTTCTTTTGTTGCTTGTGCTTTTGATTTCATATCTAAAAAACCATTGCCAGATCCAAAGTTATGAAGACTTATCCCTGTGTTTTCTTCTAACAGTTTTATAGTTATAGCTCTTATACTTGGGGGGGGGGGTCTTTGCTGCATTTTGAGTTAACTTTTGGATATGGTATAAGGGTCATTCTTTGTTTTGTTTTGTTTTGTTTTGAGTCAGGGATCTCACTCTGTCACCCAAGACTGGAGGGCAGTAGCATGACCACAGCTCACCTCAGCCTCAACCTCCTGGGCTGAGGCAATCCTTCTGCCATTGCCTCAGCCTCCCGGGTATCTGAGACTACAGGCATGCGCCACAATGCCTGGCAAATTTTTTGATTTTTTTTTTGTGGAGACAAGGTCTCACTATGTTGCCTAGGCTAGTCTTGAACTCCTAGGCTCAAGCAATCTTCCCACCTCAGCCTCCCAAAGTGTTAGGATTACCGGTGTGAGCCACCATGCCTAGCCAGATAAGGGTCTTTTTCATGTGGATATTTACTTGTCCCAACACCATTTGTTAAAGAGACTATTCTTTCCCCATTGAATTGTCTTGGCATCTTTGTCAAAAATCAATTGGTTTATTTTGGATTCTTAATTCTAATTCATTGATATATATGTCTATCATTAGGCTTGTATCACACTGTTTTGATTATTGTAGTTTTGAATCAGGAAGTGTGAGTCCTCCTACTTTTTCTTCCTTTTTCAAGATTATTTTGGTTATTTGGCATCTCTTCTAATGTCATACAGGATCAGGTTTCCCATTTCTACAAAAGTCAATGGGATTTAGATAGGCATTGGTTTGATTCTGTAGATCACTTTGTAGAGTACTGCTGTTAACAGTACTACATTTTTAAATCCATGAACACTAGCAGCAAATAATACAAAATGCTAGATGTACAACAACAAAAAAGCACTGCACAAAAGGAAATGATGGCATTTGCAACAGCATCGAAAAGATTAAACCTTAGGAATAAAGAACCAAAGAGGTAGAAGACTTGTACCCTGAAAATGACAAAATACTACTGAATTAAATTAAAGAATACCTAAATAAATGTTCCTGGGGGACAACTGACCTTTATGTATTGATCTCATATCTGTAACTTTGCTGAATTTATTTGTTAATGCTAGGTGTTCTGTGTGTGGATTCTTTGGGATCTTCTACATATAAGATTATGTCATCTGCAAACAGAGTTAATTTTGAGAATTTTTATTTCTTTTTGTTGCCTAATTGCTAAGGCCAGAACTTCGAGTACGTTGTTGAACAGAAATGGTGGAAGAAGGCCTTCTTGCCTTGTTCTTGATCTTAGAGGGAAGGTTTTCAGTCTTTCTTAGTTGATTAAGATTGAGTTTTTAAATTGCGTTTTCATCTATGGTTTTTCTAATGTTGAGGAGTTCCCTTCTGTTCTGAGTCTGTTGAGTGTTCTTGTCATAAGAGGATGTTGGATTTTGTCAAATGCTTTTTCTTAGCCAAGATGTTCGTGATTTTTTCCTCCCCTCATTCTATTACTTTGGCACATTACATTTACTTTTGTGTGTTGAACCACCCTTGCATTCCCAGGATAAACCCTACTTGGTCATGACATATAATCCTTTTGATATGCTGCTGAATCTGGTTTGCTGGTATGTTCTTGAGAAATTCTGCATACCTATGGTCTGAAATTCTCTACTGATGTCTCTGTCTGGCTTTTGTATCAGGGTAACCCTGGCCTCATAACAATGAGTTAGGAAGTATTCAAATATGCTCCTTTATTTTTTAGAAGAGCTTGAGAAAGATTAGTGTCTGAATTCTTTAAATGTCTGGTAGAATTCGCCAGTGAAGCCATCTGGTTGCAGGGTTTTCTTTTTGGGGAGGTCGTTTTGTTTTTGTTTTTGTTTTTTACTACAGATTTAATCCCTTTGCTTGCAATAAGTCTATTTGCATTTTCTATTTCTTTTCTAGTCACTTTTGGTATTTTATGTGATTCTAGAAATTTGTCCATTTCATCTAAGTAATTTAACTTTTTGGTGTACAACTGTTCGTATTATTATGATTTATTATTTCTTTGAGTTGGGGGTTCTTACTCTGTCACTCAGGCTGGAGTGCAGTGGCATGATCACAACAATCACGGCTCATGGCGGCCTTAATCTCCTGGGCTCAGGTGATCCTTCCACCTCAGCATTCTGAATAGCTGGGATTATAGGTGTGTGTCACCATGTCTGGCTAATTTTCTTATTTTTTGTAGAGACGACATTTTGCTATGTTGCCCAGGCCAGTCTTGAACTCCTGGGCACAAGCAATCTGCCTGTCTAGGTCTCCCAAAGTGCTGGGATTACAGGTGTGAGCCACCATGTCTGGCCCATATTATTATATTATATTATTCTCCTAGAATCTTGTTTTATTTCTATAAGTCCCTACTTTCATTTCTGATTTTAGAAATTTTAGTCTTTTTTATTTGATCGGTCTAGCTAAAGATTTGTGAGTTTTATTGGTCTTGTCAAAGAACTAGCTTTTGGTTTTGTTTGTTCCACTTTTCTATTTTCTGTTTTATTTTTTTCCACTCTGGTCTTCATTTCTTTCTTTCTTTCTTTTTTTTTTTTCTTCTTCTTCTATCTTTGCTTTAGTTTTTTCTTTCTTTTTTAACTTCCTTAAGGTAGAAAGTTGAGTTATTGATTTAAGATCTTCTCTTTTAATGTGAGCATTTATAGCTGTAAGTTTCTCCTTGAGCACTGCTTTGATTTTCTCTCATACGTTTTGATATGCTTTTTGTTTATATTTATCACAAAGTATGTTGTAATTTCCCTTTTGATTTCTTCTTTATCCACTGATTGTTTATGAGTATGTTGCTTAATTTCCATGTATTTGTGAATTTTCCAGATTTCCTTCCATTAGTGATTTATAATAATTTCATTCCATTATAGTCAAAGAATATACTCTCTGTGGTCTCAATCTTTTAAGATTTATGGAGACTAATTGTTTTTCTTTTAAAGATAGAGATAGGGTCTTGCCATGTTGCCCAGGCTAGTCTTGAACTCCTGGCCTCAAGTGATACTCCCACCTCCGTCTTCCAAAGTTCTGGGATTATAGGCATGAGCTACCACACCCAGCTTGAGACTAGTTTTGAGGCCGAACATGTTGTCTGTACTGGAGAATGATTTATGCAAACTTGAGAAGAATATATATTCTGCTGCTGTTGGACAGAATGTATATGCCTAGTTAGTTTATAGTGTTGTTCAAGTCTTGTCTTTCTTTATTGATTTTCTGTCTAGTTGTTCATTATTGAACATGAGGTAATGAAATATCCAACAATTCTGTCAATCGTTGCTTTATATATCTTGAGGCTCTGTCATTAGAAGTTTGTATATCTATGATTGTTATATATTCCTGCGTTGTTTATCCTTTTCTCAACATGTAATGTTGTTCTTGGTAGCTTGTAAAAATGTTTAACTTAATATGCATTTATGTAATATTAGTATAAAAACCCCTGCTCTTTTTTGGTTGCTATCAGCATAGAATTTCTTTTTTCATCATTTCATGTCCAATCAAGCTGTATCTTTGGCTCTAAAGTGAACCTCTTATTGCACAGCATATAGCTGAATCATGTTTCAGGTTTTTAAAATTCTTTCTGCCCTTTTAAATCATTTCTGTTTAAAATAATTGCTGATGTGGGAGGACTTAATTATTCTATTTTTCTATTTGCTATCTATTTGTATATCTTATATTATGTTTCCCAGTTCCTCTATTACTGCTTCTTTGTGTGTCTGGGTTTTCCAAGCATACCATTTTGATTTACTTCTCATGTCCTTTTCTACAAATTTTTATTTTCTTAGTGGTTGCCTTGGTATAATGGGGTTGAATAGTGTCCACTAAAATTCATGTCCATCTGGGACCTCAGAAATATTATCATATTTGGAAATAGGATCTTTTCAGATGTAATTATTAAGATGCAGTCATATTGTTAGGGAGGGCCCTAGTGCAATGGCTGGTGTCCTTATAAGAAGAGAAAACACACACACAGGGAAGAAGGCCATGTGATGACTGAGGCAAGACTGGAACGACTCATCTGTAAGCCAAGAAATGTCAAAGATTTCTGAGAACCATCAGAAACTATAAGGGACAAGATAGGATTCTTCTGTAGAGCCTCTAACCGTATGGTCCTTTTGATACCTTGATTTTGGACTTTTGGCCTCCAGAACTGTGAGATTATAAATACACTGTTAGCCACCCACTCTGTGATACTTTGTTATGGCAGCCCTAGAAAACGAATATACCCAGGTATTACAATTAACAAATTAGTTTGATTTAACTTGGCCTTAATAGTATACAAAACCGTGCTCCCATATGGCTCCAGCCTTCCCCCTTTATGTTGTTATTAGAAATTACATTTTATATTTATATTGTGCATCCCTTAACATAGATTTGCAAATATTGTTTTGCATATTTGCCTTTTGAATCATATAGAAAAAAAGAAAAAAATTATGGACTGAAAATACAATAATACTGGATTTTATGTTTACTTACACAGTTACTTTTTAACCAGTGTTCTTTTTTTCTTTGTATGGCTTTGAATTACTGTCTAGTGTCCTTTCATTTCAGCCTGAATGATTTCCTTCAGTTTTTCTTATAGGGCAGGTCTACTAGTGATGAACTCCCTCAGTATTTGTTTATCTGGGAATGTCTTTCTCCTTCATTTTTGAAGGATAATTTTGCTTGATATAGAATTTTTGGTTGACAATTTTATTGTTTTTTTCTTTGAGCTCTTTAAATAATCTCACTGCCTTCTGACTTACTTGGTATCTGATGATAAATCAGCCATTAATCTTATTGAGAATCCTTTTTATATGATGAATCTCTCTTCTTTCTTGTTACTTTCAGAATGGTCTCTTTGTCTTTTGACAGTTTGATTTTAATGTCTCAATGTGAGTATCTTTATCCTATTTGGAGTTTGTTGAGCTTCTTGATCATATAAATTCTTGTTTTTCATCAGATTTGGAGAGTTTTCGGCTATGTTTCTTCAGCTATTATTTCTGCCTCACTGTCTCCATTTGGGACTACTGCTATATATATGTTGGTATGCTTGATGGTCACGGGTTTCTGAAGCTCTATTCATTTTTCTTCAATATTCTTTCTTTCTGATTCACAGAGTGGATAATTTCAACTGACCAATCTTCAAGCATACTGATTCTTTCTTCTACTGCTCTAATCTACTGTTGAGCCTGTCTAGTAAATTTTTCATTTTAATTATTGTAGTATTTAGCTCCATGATTTATATTAGGTGACTTTTAATGGTTTCTATCCATTAATTTCTTTGTTTCAGCTAGGAGGAAAGATTTAGGAGGGTAGATCCCAGTGTTAAACGTTGCTTCTGTCTAGGTATTACTTCTGAAATTCCTGTACATAAGACAGTAGCTGCCAACACCATGTCCCCTTAGTCAGGACCAGTGCTTCTTGGGGCCTCTCTACTAACAAATGTACAAGAAGATATTACCTGCCTTACTAGATTGGTCAGAAGAGGAGACAGCCTGAGGGCATTAGAAATATTGCTGGCCTCAGAGATCAAATCTAGGTTCTGCCACTTCCTTGTGACTGACACACAAGGATCAATTTCCTTGTGTGCCACTTTCTTGTGATTGACACACAAGGGTAGATCATCTTCTATATCTTGGATTCCTCATTTTCAAAGTGATCAAATTATGGTTGCCTGGTTGCCTGGTTTTTGTGTTTTTTGTTTTTGTTTTGTTTTACATGGAAAGTTTCTTGTCCCAGAAAACCCGTTAGACCCAGGGAAACCTGCTCATTTGTGAGATGAAGATAATGCCGTCTATCTATGATTGTGAGGAATAGAAAAAAGACACAGGAAAGCAAGCAGGGCATGGTTCCATAATTACTTAATTGTTACTTATGTAAAATATAGGGTGGGTCTTTGAAGGTGGGGAATGATGCACCAAATAGCTAACACTCTGACATGTAGACATGCTTCTATGGGGTGCCTGAGAGCAGAACTGGGAGAGTTTTCTGTTAGTTCTACTTGACTATTTCCGCCAGCTATCCCTCTGGAAACATCGCTATGTGTCAGATCCCTACATGCTGCAGAGGGAGAGCCATCACCTGCCTCTTTAATGACACGCCTGGCTTCTCCTTCCTGGCCCTGTTCAATGCTGAAGGCCAGGGCTGTGTTCACTACAACCTAAAAACCTGGTAAGTGGATTGGGGAACCCTAGTATCATGGAATTCTCTCTGGGGGTAATGAAAGGGAGGGCTGGCATGGTGACTGTGAGCCTCTGGTTAAAGAAGGGGCCAGGCAGCGTCCAGAGGTCTAGGAAGGCACTGAGGCAGGGCTGAGGCATTACCTGCAGGGACGCAGGTACTTTGAGACTTGGCCCTTGCTTGCTGTATACATGTCACAGTCAATCAGAAGAACAACTCCCCAAGTCATACTCCACTTGGCACCCCAGAGCACTAAGCTCTTTATTGTTGGTTAGATTCATGGAAGAATTATTCAGTGAAGAAAATTATGCCAGGAATGGGTAAAGAAGTGACATGAACACCACTTTGGTGAGGTCTCTTAAGGGAAGAACATATTCTTGCTTGCCAGAGTTGATTTGGTCTGGCTTTTCCTAAAGAACTGCTCTCGGAAGCCGGGCTCGGTGGCTCAGCCTGTAATCCTATGCCTTTGGGAGGCTGAGGCGAGTGGATTGCCTGAGCCCGTGGGTTCAAGACCCGCCTGGGCAACTTGGCGAGACCTCATCTCTACAATAAATCAAAAATTAGCCAGGCGTGGTAGCGCATGCCTGTAGTTCCAGCTACTTGGAAGGCTGAGGCGGAAGGATCGCCGGAGCCCAGCAGGTTGAGGCTGCGGTGGCCAGGAGCGGCCACTGCACTCCAGTCTGGGTGACAGAGTGAGACTCCAACTCAAAAAAAAAAAATGAACTGTTCTCGGAAGAATTGACTTACTTTTGTGTTATGTATGTTCTGGTTGCCATTTGGTGCCTGTTATATTGTATGCTCAAGCTCCTAGGCAACAAAGCACAAATTCCATTTCTTCCCCTCTTGGTTTTGGTCTGAACCTCTGTTGTCTCCCTCAGACCAGCCCTTTCCCACAGGTTTCTCTGGTGGCATCAACAGGTGTTCAGTGGCCTCAGATCATAGCAGGTAGGGAAAGTGAGGCTTCCTGCAGGACCCCGCTTTTCCTCCAGCCTGGACAGGGACTCACAGACCTGCCTCCCCCAGCCTGTAGTGGTGATGGCTTCTTTCAGGAGCTGGTCAGTAGCTACTCACTTCTGTGTCTCTTCTAGCTGCCCATACGTCTTGGTCTTGGATGAGGAAGGCGGGACAACCAATGACCAGAAGGGTTATGTAGTGCACAAGTGGAGCTGGACTTCCAAGACGGATACTTTGCTTTCCCTGGAATACAAGGTAGGGGTGAGCAGCACAGGTGGGGTGGCAGTGAGCACCCCTGCCAAGGGAGGTCCTTGGTCGCCTCCTGTGGGCTGCCTAGCATTAAGAGCCAAAGGACTGCCTGTAAGATAGGAGCCCTGCCCTCAAGGAGCTTGCGATCTTGTTCAGAGGTTTCCAAGTTGGTGGGTGGTGGTCCAGGTTGGCTGAAGTAAGCTTTTCACCTTCCTATAGCAACTGTTGGCTGCTATACTAACTTTTCTTGATAATACCTATCTTTCCTATTTAATTTTTATTAATGATATTATTATATTTGTATTGTTAGGATGATTTTTATTTTATGAAGTAACAGTTGTAGTAGCTGATAGCCTTACTTTAATGCCTATATGCGGCAATAATAAAAGTTAGCAATTCTATATTGATCTCCCCAGTTTTTGTTTTTATAACTTTATTATCCATGAAATTTAAAAAATCTGGAAGTCAAAGGTGACTGATAGACACAAACCTTTTTGTCATTCATTTGGCTGTCAGATAGTCATTTATCAAACACTTATTAAATAATAAATAGTGCTGGATTATTAATAGATAATAGCTCAATAAATTTATTAATAAAGCAATTAAGTGGGCTTGTCACTATATCTAGGGTAGAGTTCCTCACTGAGACATTCTGGGATGGATACTTCTTTGGCATAACAGTGTCTTGTAGGGTGTTTCGCAGCCTCCCACTAGATGCCTGTAGGACTCTTCCCCCAGTCATGACAGCCAAAAATATCTCCAGGTATCACCCTATGTGGCCTCTGAGGAGCAAACTCGCCCCTGGTTGAGAATCACGGGTCAGGGGATAGAAAGATAAACAAAACCTTCAAGGAACCCAGAAGTCTAAGAGAATGATAAGAACACAGGATGGACAAGGATAGGAACTACAAGGGGGCAGGCTCACAGCGTCCAGCTTCAGAGAAAGATCACAGTGCCTAGAATCCAACCAAGCTCATCTGAGGTCAAGAGCCTCAGGGTAAGGGCTGTCAATGCCGAGAGTGGTGGTGGAGCTCCAGCGCCCTGCCCCGTCTCCTGTCTCTCACCCTCTCAGTTCACCCTCACACTGGCCACCAGTTCTCCTCCTCATCCTCCGATTCCTTGAGATCACACCTCTGCTCAGAAATATTGAATCCCTCGAACACGTCTCACCTTTCCTACCCCCTTGGCCTGAAATGCGCCTCTTCCTTTTCTGCCTGCCCAAATGTCTTTCCAAATTCTTTCCAAGCCCTGCCCAGAATCCCCCTCTTCGTGGCACCCCAGCCCACACCCCTTCTCTCAAACAGTGTCCACAGTTTGGATTAGTCCTTTGGTAATGATTCAGGTAACAGAGAAATTCTCAGCTCTGGCTGCATATCAGAAGCACCTCTGGGGCTTTTTATAAAATACAGATTCTAGGCACAGCCCCAGAGAGACCCTGATTCAGTTGGTCTGTTAAGAGTTTTGGATTTCGGTAGTTTTCTTCTTCTTATTTTTTAAAGTATAAAGAAGTGGGGTATGATTCAGGGTTAGGTATGCAAGCGTTGATTATGCACATACCCTTGTTGATGAGGTATGCCCCTCCCTCCCCTAGCAGTTTCCCTCAACGGCCTATCCCAGCCCCCTCCCCTGACAGTTTGATTTCTGTAGTTTTCACAAATATTCCTGAGGCTTGGCCAGGTCTGAGATTCCCCAGTCCAGGGGTGTATTGTGTTGTGTCTTAATGTTTAACTTTTCATAGCTGTAGGAGAAGTTTATAACCCAAGTAGATTATAGATCCCTCGAAGGCAGGCGTCATAAGTTGTGTGCTAGTGTAGTCCAGTGATTAGAGAACTGGGAAGAGAGTCTGAGGCACTAAGCATGAGTGTCCGCTTTGCCAGACTCTGGCTGCAGGGGTTTGTGAAAATCACTCAGCTTCTCTGAGTCTCAGTTGTCTCATCTGTACATGATGGGCTACCACACCTGCCACACCAAACCGCCTCCCTCACACTACTTACATGAGAGCTCAGTGAGGTAATCGAGGGCACGGTCTTTGACATCACTGAAGTGTTAGCAATGTACTTCAATTCATTGTTACGGTCCCTGGAGCTGCCTACAGAAATGCACAACATAGGCCTGTGCAGTGAGGAGTGGCCTGGCAGAGAAGGAGCCCTTGAGCTGCAGCATGGGGTACGTGTGTATGGCCTCACATAAATAGAGAGGAGGAGGAAGGAAGAGCCTTCTGGGTAGAAGGGGCATCATCAAGCGGGCTTGGTGGCTCAGCCTGTAATCCTGCACCTTGGGAGGCTGAGGTGAGTGGATTGCCTGAGCCCGCGGGTTCGAGACCCACCTGGGCAGCGAGACCTCATCTCTACAATAAATAAAAAAATCAGCCGGGTGTGGTAGCGCATGCCTGTAATTCGGCTACTCAGAAGACTGAGGTGGAAGGATTGCTGGAGCCCAGCAAGTCAAGGCTGCGGGGCCCGGGAGTGGCCACTGCACTCCAGTCTGGGCGACAGAGTGAGACTCCAACTCAAAAAATAAATAAATAAATAAATAAAATTAAATAAATAAAATAAAATAAAAAAAGAAGGAGCATCATCCATAAAGGCTGGAGCTGGGGCTAAGTAAGGCATCCTATGAGGCCACAGTGCTTCTTGTGGAAGGCAAGTGGGGCAAGAGAATATACAGTGCAGGGTAGAGGCAAGAGGTGTTGTCTGAGGAGTTTGCATGCTGTAATAAATTCCTCCAGGAAAAGCCAAGTTTCACTCTGATATCATTTCTATTCAGGCTCAAGAACTTCCTCTGACATCTCTTGAAATACGTATCTGCTAGCAACATATTTTGTTTTCTTTCATGAGAATTATCTCTTTATTAAAGGATATTTTTGCTGAATATGAACTCTGGGCTGATTTTTTTCTTTCATTATTTTAAAGATGTTGCTTCAATGTGGCTGTCTCCCATAGTTTACGAGATCTGTAATTGTTCAAATCACTGTTAATTTTCTTTGCAGCTTGCAAGATTGTTTCTTTTCTTTGGTTTTCTAGGTTTGACTATAATGTGTCTAGGTGTGGTTTTCTTCATATTTATTCTGTTTGGGGTTTACTGAGCTTCTTGAATCTGTAAATTCATTTCACCAAATTTGGGCAATATTCTAAATCTTCTTTAGCAAAAACAAAACCTGCGCTCCAATCGCTCTCCTTTTCTTATGAGACTATAATTATATGTATTTCAGACCTTTTGATATTGTCCCAGAGGTAGGTTCCTGAATCTCTGCTATGTTATTGTCCAATTTCTTTTCTCTTTACTTTTCAAGTAAGATAATTTCCCTTTTATCTCCAAGTTCACTAACTTTATTCTGTCATCTCCATTCTGTCATCTCCATTCTATTATTATGCTAATTCTGTAAAATTTTAAAACTTCAGGTATTACATGTTTTCAGTCCTAGAATTTCCATTTCATTGTTTTTATATTTTCTATTTCTCTGCTGAGATTCCCTATTTGATAGCTAATTATAAGTATATTTTCCTTTATGTCATTGAGTATAGTTAAATTAACTGCTTTGGAGGCCTTGTCTAAAAATTTCAATGTCTGGGTCATATCAGACAGGGTTGGCCTACATTGATTATCTATTGCTTTGAGAATGTCTCACACTTCACTGGTTCCTCACATTTTGAGGAATTTTGGATTGTAGCCTGACAGTGTAAATGTTATATTGTGAAGTCTCTGAATTCTGTTGCATATCTCTGAAGAGTATTGATAGTCTTGTCCTAACAAGCAATGAACTTGGTTAGACCCAAACCACAAACATTGTTTCACCTACAGTGGACAGCAGCTCAAATTTCAGTTCACTTTTTTGTTTCTCCTACTGTAAGCTATTTTGAGTCTGTCCTGTTCATGCATGGTTCAGAGGTCGGTTGATATGTGGACAGTTTATACACAGAATTCTGGGCTTTTCTTCTCTGGCTCTGGCTCTTTTAGAATTCTTTCCACACTTTCCTGTAACTGTGGTTGCCCCAGGCCTTCTCCTCTGGGTTCTTCAGTCCAGAAAGATGGTGAAGTTTGGCCATGACCATGACCTGCCTTCAGACCAAAGTTATAAAGTAAAAACTTATCCCATGTTTGTCCTTTCTTTTAAGTTTTGACTCCTCTTCAAAATCCACCTGCTTTTGTTCATTCTTCATAACCTTTGGGTAGTTAAAACAAATTTTTTTTCAAACTTTTAGATATCTGTGGAAAGGTCAGCCTGTTAGAAGTTGATTCAGCTATACTGGAAGAAAAACTAGTTGGTTAAATTATAAACTGACAGCTAGAATGCTTAGTCCAGCATATGTGTGGAAGGTTGACTGGAGAGAAAGATACCAGTGGATGGGCTAGTGGAGAGACTAGTTTGGGAATTACTACTAGATTAATCATGATTAAAAATAGTGGCAATATTTTTTTTAAATGGTCATATCAGCAATAGAGCTTAGTGTAGTTCCAGCATGGACTGTGTGGCATAGGTGAGAGGATAATTGTAGGTGAAATTGTACATGACTCCATGGAAACTGTAGATGACTCCATGAAGGAGACTGTGTCTGGGTGGAAACAGAGATGTTTCTGAGAGAATCACTGACCAGTATGGTTTTAGACATGCTGATTTGTCTCTGTGGCCATATCTCTCTGGGCTATTGTGACATGGATCCTGACCGAAGGTGAGAGATTAGGGAGAGTAAATAAGATACAGGGGGGCACCCCACAAAACAAACTGGAATTTATTAATGAAAAATTGTGTATTTATTCTTACATATTTAAACTTCAGTCACCTTCAAAGTACTTTCCATTTGATGCAATACACCTATTGAGATGCTTTTTCCACTGGACAAAACAGTTTTTGAACTCATCAATTGTGATGCCTTTCAGTATTCCTGCCAGGGTTTTTTTGTTTCATCCCTTCCACATCGGCAAAACGTTTCCCTCTGAGGACTGTTTTCGTCAGGGAAAACAAAAAAAGATCTCTAGGGGAGGAATCAGGTAAATAGGGAGGGTGGGGGCATGGGGGGGTCTTGCCATTTTTGAACACTCAGTGCACTGTGGGCGGGTGAACTCATAAATCACCCATCTTGAAATGGGCAAATGCATCGAAAGAATCTTCCAAAAAATTCACTGAAGCTGAACTCAGCCTCTCACAACAATGCTAGCTGGTCCACTGATGCTGATGGGTTCCTAGGACACCTACCTAGCAGGGGAAGCCTGCACTACAAGGGGCCTGCTCTCCAAAAGATAACTTTGGGGTTTTTGGGGTCCCTTCTTCTATGACAGGCTGGCTAATGAATTCTCAAGAAGATGAGTCATGGCTGAATTTGTAGAGCAGCTGTACTTAGGGCATTGGAGGAGAGAAAGAAACCACCCAGGGAGTGGGGACAATGAATACCAACTGTTCCATACTAAGCCGTATGCATGTTTTAGTCTGTGAAATCTGCTCAGTGCCCTAGGAGAAGGATTCTATTATCGTCCTCAGGCTCAGAGGAGTGAACCCAGTTTGCTTAAAATTGCCCAACTGGTCAGTGGAGATATTGGGATTCAATCCCTGTCCAGATGCCGAGCTGGAGTTCCCAACTGTGGATTTCGGCTGCCTCTCCCTAGAAGGACAAGAGAGGGGAGGGTTTCTCGTAAGTGAGTGGGATCAACAAGTTTGAAGATGTCAGAAGACTTGGCAAGTCATGGTTCAGTGCTTTCAGGATGCTGGAAGGGACCAGCCTCCAGACTGCAGTATGAGGAATAGACTGCATCGTGAGCAAGTTGAGGGTAGACTCCAGGGCCAACAACTTGAATAGTAGAAGGAAATGGAAGAAACAAAATGGAGTGCTTTCTTGGTTCAGAGGAGTCCTGGGCTATTTGTGGGTCGGGGCATTGTGGACTGGGAGAAGTGCAGCACTGTGGAGCTACTGACTCTGAGGCCCTCAAGGAAGGTGCCCCGCACATGCAAACCATTCAGTGGCCTCAACTGTGAGTTGTTCTGCTACGTTCTGACCATATCTGCTCATGTTGGTCATGGGCCTTAATGGCCTGCGTGCCACTTCCATCATTTTAATCTCATTTGAACCTGGTAATTGTCTTTCAACCATTTCATGTTGAAGAATTTGAGATTCAGAGGGTCTCAATGGCTTGCTCACAGGAGGCAGACCTAAGTAGCGAGTGAGTTGCTATAAGGGTAACTCATCCACCCTGGGTCTTATCTGGGTCTGCTAAAGAGGAAATCCCAGTCTTTTAGAACTGGTGAAAGAGGAGCTCCACCCCCTTGCCATCTATCTTTGGCTGCTCCTCAGGGGAAGAGTAGTGACATATTTGGTGACTTTAGGGGAAGGGACTGAGCATGTGTGGCTCAGGCCCTTCTGGGTCCTCTTTGCCATTGGCCTGTCCACCTTCAGAGGGCTTTCTGGTGCTTTCTGCCGTGTGGTCTTCTTCCCACCCGCTGCAGGACAAGACTCATAGTCAGACCTGATGCCCGAGTGGACACACAGGACACAGGGATAAAGGGCTGGCTACTGATCCAAGCTGCAGCCCCAACCCAGCCTCGCCGGGCCTGAAGCTGAGTCACTTGCCCAGCACCTGTGTCTCTTTAACAGTGGGTTCCCTGCTTGGCCTGAAGAAGGAAGGAGCAGGGGGAGGAGGCATCAGTTACCTCTTTAGCTAATCCCCTAAAGGGAGACCAGCATTCTTCTGTCTTCTCCATGAAAGCCAAATTCCAACATAAGAACTGGAAAGCTAGCCGGGCTCGGTGGCTCAGCCTGTAATCCCGCGCCTTTGGGAGGCTGAGGTGAGTGGATTGCCTGAGCCCGCGGGTTCGAGACCCGCCTGGGCAGCGAGACCTCATCTCTACAGTAAATCAAAAAATCAGCCGGGCGTAGTAGCGCATGCCTGTTATTCCAGCTACTCGGAAGGCTGAGGTGGAAGGATCACCGGAGCCCAGCAGGTCGAGGCTGCAGTGGCTGGGAGCGGCCACTGCACTCCAGTCTGGGCGACAGAGTGAGAGTCCAACTCAAAAAAAAAAAAAGAACTGGAAAGCTGTTACAAGTCTTCAGGCCCAAGCAAAGCGGGGAACAGTGCTTCCCAACCCAGTGGGTTGGGAAGGGATGGGTGGGGCAACAGAAGCAGAGATCCTCTGAGTACTGGTTTCTTTATCTGCAGGTAAATGAGCAAATGAAGCTAACAGTCCTAGGGCAGGACTCCATTGTGGTCACCTTCACCTCCCTGAATGAGACGGTAACACTCACTGTATCAGCCAACAACTGTCCCCATGGACTGGCGCATGATAGACGGGTAAGGCAAAGCAGACCAGGCACCCAGCCCTGATCCCTGGGCAGCTCGACATGGGTTACTGCTTCATATCTCAGCCTTTGCTCTGACTCCCCACCACCCTCCCAAGACCTTGCCTGCCTCTTTCTCTGCCATTATTCACTGCCTACCCTTAGGACTGGCTTCTCTGTGAAGCTTCTTATATCAGGAGTCTTTCGATCATCAGGGACAGAATTCAATGTGGTCTGAATGAAGCATGAAAAGGGAATACAGTGGCTCAGTAAACTGAGAATTCTGTCAATAGCAGCTTCAGGCATGGCTGGATCCAGGCCCTCAAATTATTCCAACAGTTCTTCTCATCTCTAGGCTCTGCTTTATTCTCAGGGAGTTTCTCTCCTGTTTGTGACAAGATGGCCGCACCCATCTCTGGGCTATTCTTCTACCAGCTTTAGCGTACCCAGGAGTAGGAGAGCTTCTCTTTCTTAAGCACTTCAGTAGAAATACCAACATCAAAATGCACTGGCTCGGTTGGCTGCCCATGCTTGAAACCTTCCCTGCAGCCAGGAGTGTGTGTTGCTCCCACTGGCCAGACTTGAACCTCAAGTCCATTCTGGGCCCAAGGGGTGAAATCAGCCCCGAGCAAACCGCCCAGGCAAAGGATGAGGCAGGAGTGTTTCCCTGAAAGAAAATCAAGATGTTGTTACCAGAAGGAGGTGAGATGATGCCAAACAGAATAGAGACCCTCTCTACCACCCTCTTCCCACCGTCAATGGTCTGTTCCTCCCCCTGTTCGGCCTTCCTGGCCATGACAACCTCCATTCCAGGCTCCTTTTTGACAAGTCCATCTTCTCTACCAAATTTGGAATTCCCTATGATTTCCACTCATGCCTGTTGCCCCAGGCCCAGCACAAGACCACTTCAAATTAAGCACTTCCCGAATATCTGTTGGGCGAATGAGAACATAGTGGAGACAGAGAGTCCAATTCTGCCATACACTAGTCTTCATGGATCTTACTCTGTGCCTGGTGGTCTCACATCAAGGAGTGAGACGGAGAGGATGGAGAGAACAGTCCCCATACCCTGAGTTTATTGTCTGAAAGCGAACGTGGCTCCAACCAAAGGCTCAGCCAGATGGAGCAGCCCACTCGCATTCCCCACTGGGCTTTCTGCTCAGTTAAAGGAGGGCTCCTGGTAGCAGGTGCTGGGGACCACACCTTCTGGTTTGCCCAGGGGCAGGGCTGGTTTACACCTGTCCACCTGGAGCCATTATACACAAAAGTGTCCTGGTTTGGAGGATAGGTGATATGGTCATCCTGAGCAAGAGGCTTTTATGCTGTGGGGGCATTTGCTGCTGTAGGTCACAAGTGCATAGATACACAGCGGGCGGAGCCCATAAAGGGCATCCAGTCCCTTGTCCTCCCATCACATAGGGACACAGGGGCAGGCATTTGTCAGGGATTCCCTGTGCTCCTCCTGGGGAAAGTATCGCACCTGTATTTTTCCCACTACATTTTCATTCCAGTAGCATTGCACTTCATTAATTCATTAACCAACTCAATAACCATTTATCAGCACCTTCAATGAAAGACGGTGGGGCGCAATAAGACTCAACACCTGTTAAAGCCAAGAGATTTAATGAGACAAACGCGTTGGCTACAGAACCTGAGAATCAGGCTGCAGCGTGGAGGCAGGGGTGTGGCCGGTTTTATAGAAATTTAAAGCTACCTGTCAGTTACCTATTGGTTGGCAGGTGAGGCATTTTTGGGATTGGCAGGGGCTTTTGCGGGTACGGGAACGGTGGGCGTTGTTGTGGAAGAAGAACCTGGAAAGCCTTGTCTGAGCCTCCATGGAGGGAGCGCCATTTTAGGTGGGGCCCACACCTATTCTTAGCCTTTGGAGGGGGCAGGTTCCTCATATGGCTGGCTGGAGCCTTTCATTCCCACCTCTTTGGTTAAGGGATAAAGGGGTGGAGTTGATAGGTCTAGCTACTTCCTGCCTTCGAGGGGCGTTGTTGGGTGAGGTGGGTGAAAGGACCAGCCACATGAGGCCCCATAAGAAGGCGCCAAAAGAAAAAATTTCGCTGGGGTGGAAGTCTTGGAAGGTGCCCTGGAGGTAGAAGAATGCAAGTTGGTTCGGCCAGTCGTCGAGTGGACACGGGAAAGGGAGGAGCCATTTGTCACAAAGAAGATGGTCAAGGAACGCTGAAAACCTGAGTTGGAGGTAATAAGGCCTGAAAGCCATATCTGTAATGAAAAATGGGGCGAGAAGATTTAGGAGGCAGTAAGGCTTGGGTTGTTGAGGCCTGGGTCCTCGGTGGGTAGGAGGTTGTAGCTCTGTAAAAGAAACTGGTTAATGGTTTGATTTGAAATTTTTTGGAATTGAGATTGAAGAAATTTTATAATGCAAGGGAGAAAGGAGCACAAGCCGAGAAGGAGAACGACTGGAGTAACGATAGGAAGAAGCCACGTGAGGAGGGAGTTTGGAAACCAGCTGTTAATTTGAGTGGGCTTTGTTCGTTGAAGCTGTGAGGAGAGGTCGTTTAGTTTGTTGATATTTTGTTCAATGAGCCCTGATTCATTGGTGTAATAGCAGCATTCTTTCTGGAGGAAGAGGCAGATGCCTCCTTTTTCGGCTGTTAGGAGGTCTAGGGCACTACGGTTTTGGAGGGTGACCTGTGCTAAGCTAGTTATTTGTCTTTGTAGTGACCTGATGAATTCTGAGGTGGTGTCTAGCGCCATTTGGATTTTGTTTTGTAGGTCTTCTACTGCGCATAGTGAGTAGCCGAGAGCTCCTCCCGCCAGGCCGAGGGAGGTGAAAGTGGATGCAAGGGACAATCCAACCATAACTGGGAGGAAGACGGCCCTTTTGTGTGAATGCCTGGGTGTTAAAAGAGGTGAGGTGAAAGAAGGTGTTAAGGAAAGAGGTGAGGGCTGCTGGGTTAGGGTGGAAAACTGAGTGTAAATAGGGTATGATATTGGACAGTTGTGGGACCTCATTTGCTGACGAGGAGGAGGTGTTAACGAGTATGGCAGGGAGAGGTTTTAGGGCTGCGTGGCGGGCTGCTCTGTCGGCTCGTGAGTTTCCTTGTGTGATAAAAGATGAATCGACTTGGTGGGCTTTACAGTGGGAGATGCCAATGGCTTTTGGG